CTGCAAGAAGTCACAACTGGATGAGCAATGTGGGTGGGAGAAAAGTTTTAAATGGAGAAAGTCTTACCCATCCACGTTTCTATGGTAACCTAGTTTGAGAACCGTTTGTGTAGACCCAGGCCTTGTTTTACAGATGAGGAAACGAAGGCTTAGAGAGAAAAAACAAGGATGGCAGCCAGGCAGCGTCCCGAGCTCTTTGTATACAAGACGCCATTTACTCCTTCTAAGAGGTCCATTGTACAGTTAGGGAAAACGAGGCTCAGAGAGGTTAAGGGACTTGCCCAAGGCCCCTTTGCTGGTGTTTGATGGAGGGTGGGGCCTAGTCCCCTGACTCCAGAGCCACTTTCTTAAGGACTTGCCTGTGCTGTGCCTGGTGCCTCGGCTGACTGGCTGAGGAAAGGCCTGGCATGCAGGGTGTTGCTTTCCTAAACTGGGTGGGTGCAGGGAAGGACACTCTGCCCAGAGGTGACTCCTCTCCTTCCATAATCGTGGCTCACGCCTGAAAGGTGTGGGGGTTCGAGCTTCTCACGACCTCCGGTTCCCCTGGGGAAGCTGATGACCCATCTTGGCATGGCCCAGGGGAATGAGACAGAGGCTTGAGCCCTAACATCTGCTTCAAGGCCCAGCCCTGACTGGCACCCGCCCACTCCCAACCTCTCTCAACAGGGCAAGGAGGATGAGGAGAAGAGCTTTGACATGCCATACTCGTGGGTGGAGCAGATTGAGATCTCCCCAGAAGGTATTTGCTTGTTCACAGACCCTTGCCAGGCTCAGTCCCAGGGCAACAGCTAGGCTGGGCTGCCCTGGCCCCTCCCCCTTCTGCAGCATCCCCATTCGCACACTCTGTGGCCTGCACCCAGGAGATCGCTCAGTTCACCTGTGTTGGATGATGGAGTGTGGGGCACCCTGGGGTTGGGTCACATGGAGGACAAAGGCATAGCCCTCCCCCTTTCTCACCCCCTCTGCCTGGAGGAGGCGGTGCACTGGGCCGAGGTGGTGCAGGGGATGTCAGGACCCAGCAGGGGCAAGCAGAGAAAGCAGGGTGCGGGAGCACTCACGCCCCATGTGGAAACATGCTGGCTGCTGAGCTTCCCATTTGGGAGCACCCAGACCCACGCGGAGGGTAGGGGCCATCCCAGCAGGGTGGAAAGTGCTGGAGAGGGTATCACAGGAACCCAGAGAAAGCACACCCAGCTGAGCTTAGGGGTTGAGGGCTGAGGGTGGGTGGGCACAGAGGGCTCCCAGGAGGCAGTGTCCCCTGAACTAAATTTGGAAGGGTCAGAAGGATTCAGCCCAGCAAGGGCAGGAGCGGACAGTGTTTCAGGCAGAGAGACGTGCACAGGCAAAGGCCTGGCAGTGAGGGAGACTGGTGTGTCTGGGGAGCAGATCCTCAGGTCAGGCTTAAATCCTGTTTCTGTGGGGCCTGTGCCTCTGCCTGGCCTCAGAATGCCCCTGAGCAGGACTGGGGCCTGGCAGGGGCAGGAGGGAGCAGACAATGTGATGGGCAATTCAACTGCTGAGAATCTGTCCTGAGCGAACAACAAGCAAGAACAAAGAATACATGACACAGATGTTCATCGTGGTGTTGTTTATAACAAAAAGTTGGAAAGAACCTAAATACCGAGCAGTAGGGGATTGGTTATATCACTAATGCTCATTTGTATGTGCAGCCGCCTTCTTCCTCAGGCCTGGGGTCCCCCCACCTGAGGAGGAGAGCCCTCAGCCCCACTCTGTGCCCATAGCATTCGAGACCCTCTGCCCCAACGGGAAGAAGGTAATCCAGTACAAGAGGGCGAAGCTGGAGAAGTGGGCCCCATACCTCAACAGCAATGGCCTCGTGTGCCGCCTCACCACCTATGAGGATTTGGAGTGTAAGGGGGCAGCCTCGCGGGGGGAGCTGGGGCAGGGGCAGGGGTAAGGCTCGATGTGGGGAGCAGGAGAGCTGGGTCTCCCAGTGTGTCGTGTGACCTTGGGCACGTCACTGCCACTATCTCAGTGTATGTGGGCTCTGCTGACCTCTCTGGGGGGGGAACAGTGGGGTGGGGGCTGGAGGAGCTGGCCTGGCTGCAGCAAGCTTCACTCGGCACCCCAGGTACCAATGTTTTGGAGATAAAGGAGTGGTACCAGAACCGGGAGGACATGCTGGAGCTGAAGCACATGAACAAGACCACAGGCCTAAATATCGACTACTTCAAGCCAGGCCACCCCCAGGCTCTGCGTGGTACGTGGACCCCATTGCTGTCCAGGCAGGAGCCCAGGGTAGGGAGGGGGTACACACTCCTTAGAATAGCCTCCATGGCAGCTGGTATGTGGTGGGGGGAATCAGCGTCCGTGTACGGACAGGGTTCTTGGGGGGCAAGCAACAGAAACCGTCTCTGCCTCCCTAAGCAAACCTGATGTGTGGGGAGATCAGGGGGAGCTCAGAAAATCCAAGGAAAAGTGACAAACGTTCCTCCAGGAAAGTCATAGCTGGGGCTGCATGCCCGTTTCGTGGTTGGCATTGGGTAGGAAACCCACCAAAAGGGCACACAGTGGGGACCACAGTTAAAGAAAATAAGGATGTTGAGCAGTAAAACCAACAAACGTTCCCCATAAGGGCAATGCAGAGGGCAGACAGTGTAAAGTGTGGACATGGCCATGAGCTCAGAAAATTGGCGAGGGAGAGAAGGTCATGTCTTGGGAGAGAATCAACAACCCTAACCAAGAATTCAGAAAGGAAAAACATAGGGCCAATACACATTTGAAAACATGATCAACCTCATTTGTTGGTTAAAAAAAAAAAAGAAACGAACCCAATAAGGGACCATTTTACAACCCTCAAGTTGGCAAAGATGGAAAAAAATAGCCCCACTGGTGTGAACAAGTGTGCAAAGCAGCAGTCACCCCGTCACTGCTGGTAGGAGAGCAAATTGGCACAACTTTTCTGGAGGGCGGTTTGGCAAAGTATATCAACAGTTGCCTTAAGATGTGTACATTCTTTGACCCAGCAATTCCACTGCTGAGAATCTGTCCTGACCAAGAACAAAGAACGCATGACAGATGTTCATCATGGTGTTGTTTATAATAACAAAAAGCTGGAAACAACCTAAATACCCAGCAATAGGGGATGGGTTATATCACTAACGCTCATCCATACGTGGTGCTGCCTTCTTCCTTGGGCCTGGGGTTGGGTTATCTTGCCAGCTCTCATAGTTCTGGTTGCTCATCTGGCCCTTTTTCTCTCCCATCCTCCCCCATCGTAGTGCACTCATACAAGTCCATGCTCCCCGAGAATGACCGGGCTATGGAGTTTTACGAGTCGGCCCGTGTGGATGGCCTAATAAAGCGGGAAGAGACGCCCAAGACGATGACGGAGTTCTTCCGGGGGCGGCCAGACTTCCTCTCTTACCGCCACATCGACTTCGGCCCTAGGGTCAAGAAGCTAACTCTGAACAGTGCAGAATCCAACCCCCGGCCCATGGTGGTAGGAGCTCGCTGGGCCTGGGGATAGGGGGGCCCTCATTCTGTAACAGGCTGAAGTCACCATGGGCTGGGGAGAGCCCTGGCTCTGGCGTGCCATCAAAGCCTAATACATTGCCTGAGCACTAACTATGAGCTGGAACCCTGGTGGCACAGTGGTTAAGAGCTCGGCTGTTAACCAAAAGATCAGTTCAAATCTACCAGCTGCTCCTTGAAAACCTTACGGGGCAGTTCTACTTTGTCCTGTAGGGTCTCTATGAGTTGGAATTGACTTGACAGCAACAGGTTTTGGTTTGAACTATGAGCCAAGTGTTTTACCAAATGCACCATCCCAGGGCTGTCTGATGTCAGGCTATGTCCTCAACCATTGGGCCAAAGAGGTAGTATTTCCTCACTATTACAAAAAAATGCACACTCGTCACAAAACATTTGGAAAATATGAAGAAATATGGAGAGAAAAGTAAAAATATCTCAGAATGGCATCTGTCAGAATTACCATGTATTAATGGGTTTGGTTTTGAGAGTCTTTTCTAAATTGAGATCCATGTGTCTGTAACCCCCTTATCATCTGCTTAACATTAAATTGTGTGCTTTTCCTCCATGTCATTATAAATTATTTGGAAACAGAGTTTAATGGCTGCATACCACAGCAGCTGTTTCTAGCAGTAAAGGAAGTCTGGTGATGGAGTAGGCAACCTGGAGAGGTGGTGAGCTCCCCGTCTCTGAAGGAGGGCAAGCAGAGTCTTGTTGAAGAGCTAGAGAAGAAAGAAGTCAGGCACCATACGGGGCTGGAGTGGCCTGGCCCAGAGAGCTGTGGGGCCATGAGAACCACTGTCTGGCTGGTGGTCTGCTCCACAGGAACCCCCAGAGAACACTAGACCCTGTTGTCCCTGAGTGCTCTTGGGGGCATGCACAGAGGTCCCCTTCCCCCACTTCCGGTCCTATGCATGTTCTGGCCTTACAGAAAATCACAGAGCGGTTCCGCCGCAACCCCGCGAAGCCCGCGGATGAGGACGTGGCGGAGCGTGTCTTCCTGATCGTGGAAGAGCGCATCCAGCTGCGCTACCACTGCCGCGATGACCACATCACGGCCTCCAAGCGCGAGTTCCTGCGGCGCACCGAGGTGGACAGCAAGGGCAACAAGATCATCATGACGCCCGACATGTGCATCAGCTTTGAGGTGGGCCTGGGGGCATGGCCGTGGCATGCGGCCGATTGAGGTGAAGCTTCTGGGGCCCTTGGTTCTGTTCCAGCAACTTGGGAGAACCAGGACGGGAAACTCTGGTTCCCAGCCCGAAATTCACCCCTGCTCCTGGGGATAATCAAAAGCTCCCATCTGGGAACCCCTCTCTGCAGCTCCTTTAAAAATCCTCCCTTCTTCCACGAAGGAGAACCCAGTGGGCTAAGACCACTCCCCACTCCCCACCACTACCCCTTGGGCAGAGAAGACCCCAGATCTCGAGGACAAATGCCAAGTAGGAAAAGACCCAACACAACTGTGGGTCTGATTTTCTTAGTTCAAATCCTCACTCTTCTGGCACCTTCCTCAACCCCTCTGAGTCTCCGGCTCCAGTTCTATTATTTATGTTCTTACAGATGACGAAACTGAGTCCCAGAAAGGTTAAACAACTTGTTTCAGATCACACAGCTAGAAAGTGGCAGGGGCAGATTGGAACCCAGGTAGCCTGGCTCCAGTCTGCCCATGACCACAAGCCTCTCCGTGTCAGTGTGCTGCTTGTTGTCCCAGGTGGAGCCCATGGAGCACACTAAGAAGCTTCTCTACCAGTACGAGGCCATGATGAAGCTCAAGAACGAGGAGAAGCTGTCCAGACACCAGGCCTGGGAGTCGGAGCTGGAGGTAGGGTCCCATGGGAGAGTGGGCAGGTGAGAGGTGACAGGGTGGGGGTGTCTTAACCACACACACACCCTCTCCCACCCCAGGTGCTGGAGATCCTGAAGCTTCGAGAGGAAGAGGAAGAGGGGCACATGTTGACCATCTCCATCTATGACACCAAGCGCAATGAGAAGAGCAAGGAATATCGGGAGGCCATGGTGAGTCCCCTCCCTCGCCCAGGCCTCAGCTTTTCCTGGACTAGCCCCCCACCCCCACTCCACCCCCTAGCCTCCAGGGTGGTGAGAATGACTAGGGTTTCTGCCAGAAAACCTTTTATATAAGGGGATGAAGTTACTGATACCACTGTATCCATCCTTGCTGCTGAACTAACCATTTCTACAATTCACCCCAAAGAGACTTCAGGATCCAGGCCAGGTCTTCCCCCACCTCCAGGGACTTCTGGTTAAGCCATGGTCTGTACCGCAAGGGGGGAAGATGAAAACGTACCCGTGCATCCGCCTACACCCTGGCCTCCTATGGAGCTTGCAGCCTTTGCCCAAAGCCCTGACAAGCCGACTCTGGCCACAGGCCTCAGTTCTTAGGCCCCTGCAGCACAGGGTGTTCAGTTTACACCCACAGGTAGCAAGTCCCGACTTGGTTTTCCAGGCTTGTTTCTGAATCTTCTTCACCAAACAATTGGAGATTTCTAAAAATAGTTTGGAGTTGGTGAGCTGGGGCTGAGCATCAGATAACAGGCTCTCAAACCCCAAGGGTAGGCGTCAGCCCCCACATCACTTCATGGCCCCTGTCTGTGCTGCAGGACACAAGGCCCCAGGATGAAAGGGAAGCATGAAGGGAGTTTCTGGTAGTTTTTAATTTAATGTCATTAACTCCACCACCAAGGAGCCCT